AGTGACTGTAAAAATGTTGACATATATATTTTTCAAAAATCAAAAGGAATATTATCAAACAAGGGAGGTTTAGTTATAGAGTAACCTTTTGGTGTGTTTTGGGTTCCAAATATAGTTATGGTCGTTAATCAAAAAGTAGTCTAAACTTATGGTTTTAAAATAAAGAACTGATATCACTTGTTGAATATGAGTTAGGTTATTAGACCTAAGCTTATGTCCCAACGGCCAACTAAGAGGGCGAGGAAGGGGGGCGATGGTGAATTGGTAATTTTAAAAAATCTCCTCTTAATTGAAATTTAAAAGTTTAAAACCGATGAAATCTTTTTAGTAATTTCAAAAACTATTTTTTAACCATAGATAATAACACGATAGAAAAATAAAAGTTGCGGAAAATAAATAACACAAGATTTATAGTGGTTCAGTAAAATATGACTTACATCCACTCCCTGAAGTCTCTCACTTCAGGTATTGCACTATTACCACTATTGTCTATCCTTTTACCCCCATAACAAGGCTGAGAAGCCTTCACAAAAACTCTCTTCCACCACTACCCAGTGCAGAAGAGAACCGTACGTCATCCTTTTACACCCTCCAAGGGTAGGCAGAGTACCGTCGTCCTTTTACACCCTTTAAATATAGGCAGAGTACTATCATCCTTTTACACCCTCCAAGTGAAAGCAGAGAACCTTCTACTATTCACACTCTCCAAGTGTAGATAGAGAACCTTCGACTATTTACACTCTCCAAGTGTAGGTAGAGAACCTTCGACTGTTCACACTCCTCGAGTGTCGATAGAGAATCAGAACTTTTTGAAAGATCTTCTTATGAGAAATCTAGAAGAATAAGAGAAAAGAGTGAAGTAATCACAAATTACAAACATATATCCTTACCTTTGAGTAACCAAGTGAACCCTTCACGCTCTAATAGTAAGAAATCTCCTTCAAACACTCTCTCTCACTCTCTCTTTCAAAATCACTTTAATATGCATGAAGACCAAATGATAAAAAGATATCATGACAGACTTAAGTAGACCTTTTATTGAAAAGACACGAAAAACCATCCAAAAAACTACAATGTTTATTTTTTTAGTGTACACGATCATCCCGTAAGATTGCATTTTGTACGTACGAACAATATAAAAACTTTTGCGTATGAACTCAATGTAAATTTGTACGAACTGTCTTCGTACCCAATCATTGTCCTGTACGAACATGGTTCATCCTGTACGAATACTTTTTCACAAAGTTTGTTGGTACAAAAATGTATGATGGACTACAAGTATACATAATAGAGAACATCATCCTGGGATGAATGAATAAGATCATCTGGACAAACAAATCAAATGTCAAATCTAGATCAGATCATCCTGGGACGAATGGGTAAAATCATCTAGATGAATAGATCAAATAACAAATACAGAGGAGATCATCCTGGGACGAATGGGCAAAATCATCTAGACGATCAAATCAAATGATAAATCCAGAAGAGATCATCCTGGGACGACGAATAGGTAAAATCATATGGATCATCTATACTTAGAAAAAAATTTTGTCATCTCTGTTCATTTCATTACTCGTTTGGGAGTATAACTGACCAGATCGTCCTATACGAACATGGTTTTTACTGTACGCTAAGTTTTGAAAATTATGAATTTTTAAAACTCTCCCCCAGTGTGTGTGTGCTAAGTTACTCGATTACAATCGCACTCTCTTAGACTCAAATAAAATGAAAAATACATACTACAATTTTACAAAATATTCTAAGCAGATCTTGATTTGAAGTCTTCAACAATCTGGAGTATTATTTTTTTGAAATGTTAGTACACACAAGAGCAAAAAAAAATCTTCTAAAAAGTATTAGGAGAAAATAATAATCAAAATAATAATATTTGGAATCATCAAAAACATACAAGTTGCAAGAATGTACTCTCTTAGACTCAAATAAAATGAAAAATACATACTACAATTTTACAAAATATTCTAAGCAGATCTTGATTTGAAGTCTTCAACAATCTGGAGTATTATTTTTTTGAAATGTTAGTACACACAAGAGCAAAAACAAATCTTCTAAAAAGTATTAGGAGAAAATAATAATATTTGGAATCATCAAAAACATACAAGTTGCAAGAATGTGCAAGAATGTAAAACATACAAAGCTAAGTAGTAACTCTCTCAAAAAATTGAACTCAAAACATGATAAAGAAGCAATATGCATTGTTTGATTGAAAAAATTGAGTTTAAAAAAGATTAATTTTTTTGGTAGAATTTAATTTCTAGAATTTCGGTTTTAAAATTGAACAAGTCATTATGTATAATATATTACCTCGAGAGGCGAGGACATTATTCCCTAATATGTTCATATTATAAAACTTTGAATTCATCTATATTATTATAGTCAAACTAAAAGAAAAAAAAAACATATGTTCTAGAGGGTCAAAGTGAAGTTTGATCGAGTGCTTAACTATAATAATATGGATGCATGATCATTAATTTCATAATCAAGGTCATGATAAAAGAATGTTATATTTTCCTAAGAAAAAAAGATATCATTTTTCATCAATCATTTAAATATAATGATAATGATCGTTGACCTTAATTTTCCCAAAGATAATTAGAGGAAGGTTTAGAAAAAAAACTTAATTTTGAAAATTGATCTAGGTTCAAAATCTTCTACGAGTGCAAGCTCTCATAGTTAATTATATCATATGAAATCACAGTTTCTTACAAAAACTCTTGAATAAAATAATGATAAAAATTTTATTTGAAAAATATCAAGGATTGATATCAAATGATTGAAGTTAGAATTTCAAATGGAAATTGATCAAGTAAGAGAACTTATTTCTCAAAGTCAAAGGAAAAATAGTATGAGGCAGTTTGAGATTCTAAAACACTTCAGAAAACACCCCAGCTTATTCTATTTGTAGGGCTTGAATTTTTTATTGAAGGGGATTTAAATTTAAGCTAACAATTTTATTCGAATGTTGAGATTATATTCCAAGAAAATGAGGTGTTATGATTTTGAGTTTGCCTCATATTCTAATCTAAACTAGGCAATAGGCGATAGTAATCCAATCCTAACTAATGCAGTGCAAAACTTGGACTTACCCTGGCCACGATTGAGGAGCTAACTAATCACCTAAGAGCTTAAAAATCATGAATATGATCTATTTTATGGAAGAGTGATAAAGGCATTATTTAATCAAGTTTTAGAAAATGGGGTCAGCATCTAGAGCAGATCCTAATTGGTTCATTGACTTATGTAGGATAATTGATGCTTGAAATAAAATGCAATTTTATATGATTTTTTACATTTTTAGTTGATTTTTAATGCAATATAAGCAAATTAACTTGATAAATTCATAAAATTTGTATGAACCAGTTTTAAAAAAAGGCTTTAAAATATGTTTTATCTTAGATATTGCACAACTTCCTCTTTGATGAGACTGGACCATAATAGGTCAAGTGGTTGCTAGAACTCATATGTAGGGAGGTGCCTAACAAGAAAGAAAAAGTAATTATATGGTACATGCGACTCTTGGCTTGCCCGAGCTTACTTCTCAAAGCTGTTAGAGTTTTTATCTAAGTTTAAAATTTCATTTTTCATTAAAGTAGAAAATTTTTGTTTGTGCCATCACGAATCTCCGATCGTTCCAGACTAAAACAAAAATCAACATGCAATCGAAAAAGGCTAGTAAAGACATGTAATTTGAATTGTACAATCAAGTTAAATAAATAAATCAAATTAATTAAATATATTCAAATTCCATGTGGCAAGTGCCACTAAATAGTACAATCTAGGGTATGTATAAATTAAAAGTGGCTGAGTACTACTTATAAAAACTCGTATTCTACTCCTAGGACTGACACAAGTGACTTTGAGAATGAGATTCTTATCAGTTTTCACTTCTTCGTCCTTCTGCATGCTCCTTGGATTCATCGAGTCCTGATATCCAAGTGAAAAGAAAACTTAAATTTTTCAAATTATCTAAATTTGGATCTTCAAATGAAAAGGAACTCTCCCCTAAGGGATGTTCCTTTCTCTTTAGATTCCAAATTGGATTTATAACATTCCGTCTCAAAAGGTCACTTTTTCAACTCTTAATTAAAACTACAATACATCAAATTATATATAAATAAAATTAATAATCTAGACTCAACCACCACCTGCAAGGTTATCCTAAGTAATAAATAGTTAAATCGATATCCCAAGATGTTATATATATGAAAATGCTTAAAACTCAATCACAATCACACGTGGTCATGCTCTTTTTAATTTAAAGGGGATTTAGCATGTGTCGCGATCTGCTACAGCCTGCCAGCCGACACGCACGAACAGCCTGCAACCTCTCGGGCAACCCGCCCTCTTGCCCACTCGCACAACCCGCCGCAGCCTACAGGCACACATATGGTGGGGTTTGAACCCTAGCCTTAAGTCCGCATGCTTGCCCGACGATCAAGCCACTTAACCAAAATTGTCTTAATTTTAATGCTTTTCTATTTATGTTATAAAAAGCAAAATATGAAAATTAATACTATTTAATCTTATTATTTTGAAATTAATACTAATTTTATTTAAGATCAAAATAATTAATATATTTAGTTTGCTTTAAAAATGAATTATTAAACTTATTAATTTATTTTAACAATGAATTATGAATATATTTAATTTAATTTAAAAGAAAATTTGTAAAAAATATTTCACTTTTCTATTTAATCTATACTAATAAAAAAATTAAATTTAAAATAAAATAAAATAAAATTCTAAAACTAATAATTAATTTAAATAAGTTATTAAATTAATAAAAATTATATAAATTATTTTAAAACTAGTTAATTAAAATAACATTTTAAATTATTGATTAATTAAAACAAACTAAAGAAAATAAAAATTAATAAGTACCTGACATATGGAGAGAGAGAGAGAGAGAGAGAGAGAGAGAGAGAGAGAGAGAGAGAGAGAGTATGCAGAAATGAAGAAAATAAAAGAAAAGATGTGCGTACTTTGACAATGAGGACCAGTATGCATCGATGGCCTAGGAACAGATGGCATCATCCATCTCATTGAAACAGAATGCATCATCCATGGCGCGGGAACAGAGCGCATCTGTGGCGTATAAGCATAGCCTGTAGCAACTGAAATGTTTGTAAATATTAGTGTATCATCTAATCGTTGCTGCACCCAAAATCCACGCTCCATATATAGCTCGTGAAACTGAAACAATTCTTCGAGAAAATTAAGAATGCAGGTCGTCGGAGAAAAAGAAGAAGAAGACGAAGTGTGGAGTCGCTTGTGAGTAGCGGATGAGAGAAACTGGGAGGGGTAATAGAGCGAGGAGCGAGAGATATTAGATCCGATTGCATATTTCTGTAACATTTATAGAAGCAGTTCAAACTAATGGTAATTATGTTTTCAAATTAATAAAAATCTATCTTTGGAAACCAAATCAAATTGATAAAATATATTTATGGAAAGTAAATCATCAAAATTTCATCATATATGAACAAATATTATTAGTGATATCTGAGTGATTCTAACGGTTTATAAAATCTAAAATGAATAAATTATTCTAACGATTTATAAATTTAATTAGTTGACTATAAATTTTAATTTTAATATAGTATGATTATTTGTATTTTTATTCTTTGAATACTTGAAAGAAGAAAGATACCAAATGTAGGAAACGTTGATTGTTCTTATACCAAAGGTATCTAATCCTCTCTTCCCGTCTAATTATAGACCAATCAGTTTATGAAATTCAGTGTACAAGGTGGTAGCAAAGGTGATTTTGAACAGATTAATAGAAGTTATTCTGAAGCTGATCTCGAAGGAGCAAGTGGCATTTATTAAAGTGAGATCTCTGTCAGATCATGTGTCGATTTCTCAAGAATTATTTCACAAATTTAGATTCTCTATATATGCTAAAGGGCTTGTTTCTTTCAAGGTGGACATGGAACAAGTATATGATTCCATGTCTTGGTCTACTCTTTGGAAAGTGTTGGACTATTTTGACTTTCCTCCAAAGTTCTCCAAATTGGTTTTGGAGTATGTTGAAGATCCTACTTTCTCATTGATTATCAATGGTAATTGCTCAGACTAGATGAAAGCAAGGAGTGGATTTCGTCAAGGTTGTCCTTTGTCTCCTCTCTTTTTTTATTATATGTTCACAACTCCTATCTAATGCTTTAGCTCAAAGTTCTTGTGGTATTAGCATTAATTCAGTAGGCCCTAGAGTGCCCCATTTACTCTATGCATATGATGTTATAAAGTTTTAGGAAGCCAATAGGAAGGCTGTTAAGTAAAGGGTATTCTTAATGATTTTTATGGATGGACGGGTCAGCATATAAATATGGGCAAATCAGCCATTTTATTTGGTAAATATGTGAGCAGAAAGAAGAAGAAAAGCATTTCTCGTATTATGGGATTTAAACCCGTGAAGGAATTCAACTATCTTGGGGTAAATATTAACTTAAGGAAACTTGTTAGTGATGACTTCCAATTCATAATTAACAAAGCTTTGAGGATCCTTAACATTTCGGAAAGCAAGTTCATATCCTCACATTGGTCAAATTAGTAATGCTCTCATATCCAACTTTTCATGCAACACATTCCCTTGTTCCAAATTGATTGCTTGAGGAACTAGACAAATTATGTAGGAGTTTCATTAGGAATAAATCTAATGGAAGACTTAGATTACATTATGCAAGTTGGTATGACCTTGGTAAGCCTTTGTGTTTGGGGGGTCATGGATTATATTCTAGTGTCACTAAAACTCCTGCATGAAGAGAAAGGTTGGTATAGAGATTTATTCAAGATAAGGAGTCCCTTTTGCACAATTTATTGGCTCCTAAGTATGGTGTTTGGCTTGATTTGGGAAATGTAAGAAGAGGCTATTCATCTACTTGGAAAATATTGAATGGAGGGAGGATCCTGTAACCTATTGTCAGGTGGACCAACTTGAATTCTGCTGATAATATCCCCATCCTTTTCACTATCACTCTGAACAATAGATCCAAGATATCTAAAACGTGTACTCTTATTAATGACTTGATCGCCCAAAGTCACAATACCCTCACTTGGTCTATTTCTACTAAAATTACACTCCATATATTCCATTTTAGATCTACTGAAGCAAAAACCTTTATACTCTAAGGTTGACCTCCATAATTCAAGTTTACCTTCAACTCCCTCTCTAGTCTTATCAACAAGAAGAATATCATCAGCAAAAAGCATACACCAAGGTACATCCTCTTTCAAATGTATAGTGAGAACATCCATGACTAAAGCAAAAAGATATGAGCTTAAGGTTGATCCTTGATGTCACCCAACCGAAAAAGGGAAATACTTGGTTAAGCCACCTTGTGTTTACAAGTAATAGCTCTTGCGTACATATCTTTAATGATTTGAATATAAGCATTATTGACTCCTTTCTTTTCAAGAACTCTCCATAGCACTTCTCTTGAAAATTTATCATATGCTTTTTCTAAATCAAAATATCATATATAGATCCCTTTATCTTAAAGTCCAATCAATAATTAGTTGTTAAATTAAACTAAATAAATTAATTATTTTGATCTTAAATAAAATTAGTATTAATTTCAAAATAAAAAGACTAGTTAGTATTAAGTTTCATATTTTGTTTGTTATGATATAAATAGAAAACATCCAAATTAAGACAGTTGTGGCTAAGTAGCGTGATAGTCAGGCAAGCATGCAAGTGCAAGGCCAGGGTAAGAACCCTGCAATAGGTGCAGTGCACTTGCAGGCTGTGGCGGGTCGTGCGGGCGAGCAAGCAGGCGGGTTGCACGGGGGATGCATGTTGGTCTCACGTGACGGCTAGCGAACTATGGCAAGTCACATTGGTTGGAGGGCGGGAGTTTGGAGGGTCGTGCGGGCATGCATAGGCTAGTCCTGCGGGCTGGATAGTAGGCCCAACTGGGTGGGGGCAGGACCTTTTTTTAGTTTTTTTTGTTTTAGTTTATTTTTTTGGTGGATATATTCCACCAAAAATATTTCCGATAGTTTTTTTTGCACGAAATCCGTCATAAATTGTTCCGATAGACTGTTTTATGTTGGTGGCAATTTTTTGACACGTGTTTTGTCGGCGTAAATATTTTCACCGGAAATACTAATTTTTGATAGATTTTGACTATTTTCCGGTGAAAAGTGTCATCTAAAAATGACATTTTCTGTAGTTTTTCTCTTGAGGAAATTCGAAAGAAAGCTCCATTTGAAGTCCAAATATGTTTGAGTCAGTCAAAATTCTCTTGTCTCAAAGAAGGAAAATAAAAGTAAAAGTAAAATTATATTAGATAAATTAGTGATCTCTGTGGATAGTGGATCAAAATCCCTTGTACCGCTCTTAGTGTATGATTTCTATTTCATCCCACCGAAGATTAAGAAATTGATGAATAAGATTTACGTTCCTCTACGTCCGGTCGGAGGACGTAATAATTGTTCCTAAAAAGCTAGATGAAAAACTCAAAATATGGTATTCACATAAAATAACATCATTTGGTGTGGGG